CACTTTTATTCTATGTAAGCAACCAAGGGAGAAAACCCTCATCTTTGGATAAGATAGGCTACTCTGTGTTTGCTGGAGCTTTCAGCCAAATTTAATAGAGGCATTTTAAAATATATAGTAAAATAAAAAGGCTTTAAGAGCAGCTTTAAAAAGCAATAGTCATCCTGATTAATATCGTCCTTGCCATTTATCTTGACAACACGGATATAATTGTAGATTGTAAAGAAGCAATTTAAAGCAGCCCAGTGGAATCAGAAAATTTAAATGTGGCAGGAGAACATCAGTTCTTTGCAGTATGAATCAATCTCTGGCATGCAGGGCCCAGCCAGGTGAGTCCATGAGTTCTTGGGTGGATTAAAATGCCCAGGGCAAGGGACCACCACTCAGATTCAGAATTTAGATACACCACAGAGGTAATACATTCCTTACAGAATTGTTGTTGAAACAGATTGTGTATCCCATATAAAAATGATTGGAATTAGAAATATTTAAAAAAATTTAAAGATTTTGGAAGTTTTGCACATACATACAGACAGATCTTGGAGATGGGATCCAAGCCTAACACAAAATTCATTTATGTTTCATATACAACCTTTACATATAACCAGAAGGTAATTTTATACCCATAATTTTTAAATGTAATTTTATGCATTAAGAAAAGTTTAAGTCCACTGAATCACAAGAAAGCAAAATTGTAACTATCTCAGTCACCAATGTGAAAATATTAATATTTTGGAGTATTTTGGATATCTGGATATATTACCTGTATAAATAAATTTGTAACCATACAAGCATTCAGCTGATAAATTTTAGCATATAAGGCTGCAATCCTAAGCATCTTTGTTTAAGTGACTTAAGAATCCATCTTAAATAACTGAAATAACATTGTATTGTCAAAGGCTTTCATGGTTGTTATAGGTTTTTTCAGGCTATATGGCCATGTTCTAGAGGCATTCTCTCCTGATGTTTCGCCTGCATCTATGGCAAGCATCCTCAGAGGTAGAATGCCTCTAGAACATGGCCATATAGCCTGAAAAAACCTACAACAGCCCACTGAAATAACATTACCAGAATTTACTTATAATGGAATATAATTAATGCTGCACTCTTGAATATTAGATTGTAAGCCCTACTGAATTAATATTGTCCTAGGTCTTCAAGTGTTAAATGTTTTATTAGAAGATAATTTAATTGCCTTGTGCTACCTTTTATTTATATTCACATTAATATATTTTAATGGCCTGTAAAAACACTTTGTTCAATTAATGCTTTTAATATGATTTTGTTTTATCATCGTCTAGCCATATTTTGTTTTAACTCACATTGTGAGCTGACTTGGGTTCCAATATTGAGAAAATAAAAATATTAAATGAATGAAAGGAATGAATGAATAAATAAATAAATACCTAGCATGGGTATTATAAGGAAGAGGATGCTCTTCCAAGAAACCTATACTTAATTATTTATTGTAATGTATATTAATATACATTCAGCTTATTAGCCATGGATTCAGAGTGAAAGAAACTCTCTTGCTGATAGCTTTGGATTTTCTGGTACTGGTACCAAGGAAACCCTTCTGGGTTCAGCAAGCAGTTAAGTGATTTAATGGTCCTATACAGAAGGTTTTTACAAGAGGTGGACCCCCTTTACATGCAAAGACAATATTAAGATGCTATAATGTAGTTTTGCATAAATAGGAACTTAATTTTAGTGTAAAATCCTTTGTATTGCAACAGGAAGCAAGACTGCAGCTATAGTATTGTGACTTATGCCCACCCTGTAAAGTGACCCAATGAAAGTGATGCTACGGAGACAAATAAAATTTGCAGGTGTGTCATTGCCAACATGTACGGCCAATATAAATTATTGTCACCTAGAATTTTGTCCATCCCACTCACCCTGGAATAATTCACATTCATGCCCTGGAATAACCAATTAACAATATCACAAAGATATATTTTTTTTAAAAAAAAAAAAAGATTGAACTATTTAATTTGAGGCTATTGAAATGGTATGTTCAAAAGGCATCTTGGTAAGCATGCATCGTGCACTGCACAACTTTTAAAATGCAACACAGTAATTTTTAAAATCATATTAACTTTATAAAGTATCAAATAGAGATGATCACAATTATAGCATCTGGCAGAAATTAATGAAAAAATACATTATGTAAGATGAACAGAGATTACAATATTTAAAATTAATTTTAAAATGTGTTCGATTTTTTTTAAGTCTAAAGATTTGAAAAACTTTTGGGTTTTAATGATAATGTATTTTCCAAGTACAAAATGTTCCATTATTCCTTAAACAAGTGAAAAGTTAAAGAAGAATTGTGTAGTGCCACTAATGTACAATTTTGAAAATTGTTAGAAAAATTCACTGTAATACAATAACCTGATGCAATAATGGGACAATGCAATATTCCACTGTACCCATGAAGCATAAGCTGAGAGCATAGAAAAATTGAGTATTTTACATAACTGTTGAAGTTAGGTGATAGTACTACTCATTTTGGCTTCTTTAAACCATCAAAAGCAGATTTGGATTATTGTTCTCTATGCTAGTTGTCTGGAGACTGCGTTATAATCTCTGCACCTGGTTTTCAGTTTTAAGCAAAAACATTTGCACCCCCTTTTATAAAATTAGTGGGGACCGAGGCAACCTCAAAACACAAGAGAAACCGGCCTCTAAATCTTAGAGACTATTGAGGAAAAACACTATGTGTAGAGCTTTCTTTTACGTTGTGTGTGTCAATATCTGGCATTTACTCAACAATCATTTCTTTGTCTGCTCCTTTATGGCTAAATGCAATGCTGATATTTTCAATTGCTGAAGAAAGACATCTTCTAGACTCTGCTTCTTATTATCAAGAAAAGCATATTCAGCAGCATCTCCTCTTGTAATACATTGTCTTTTTGAACCCTTACCTCCCAGTTAACAAAAAGTGTCCTTGTACTGCTATGTCAGTATACATTCCTTTTTATTCCATTTTGTCTATTTATATTGATTTTTCCTTGTAAAAATCATTTGTATATATGTGTGTTTTGTAATTTAACTCAAGCCTCTTGGACAAAACCTGCTATCCTCTTTTATAAATGAAATACAATACAAAATGGAAATCAAAACAGTGAGGGGACATCAGAATTTTAATGCATTGGCTTCTATGCTAACAACTAGACACTCCAGAACTTTTATTAGCAAGACTGAAAAGGCTGCAATTCTAGCCAAAATTCATATTAAATATTGTTAGTTTCCAAGATGTACATATCAATTTAAAAAAAACACCTAGAAGCAATAAAGAAAAGCAATATCTTTGTCTGCTATTTGTGCAGAGCAGCAAACTATCACAGATAACTAGTATTGCTAGTAATTGATAGTGAGAAGCAATTATGTGTTGATTTTGGCCTGCAACATATTCTAAAAAGCAATTGTATAATCAAATGAAAAATAATGAATTTGGCAACATAATTTATTAGAATATTGCTAGTCAAAATCAACACATAATAATTGATATCTTGCTTCAAAAATGTAATCACACATATAGAACAGATGTATTTTGAAATACTATTTGCCATAATTAAAATAGTGAAATACTGCTTTCTGCTAACTTTTCAGTTGCTTCCTCCTACAGAGTGGAGGGTTTTTTTTTAACCCACAAGCAAATGAGAGGTGACTTCAGGACAAGTAGGGGAAAGTGTTAAATCTCTTCTCAGTATAGACCAAAGCAAGCTAAATTGGTGGTAAACATTGCACAGGGAAGACACAATGTACATATATAATGTGATATTTATTTTAACCATAATTTTCTATAGTATCTGCTGGACTTTGGTTCAAGGAACAATCCCCCTCAATTAATACCAAAACTGGTGATGGTTCAGGTCCTATTGCATACAACGGCATACTATAATTATGCATCTAATGTAAAATCAAGGTTTGCTGTGTGCAAATGTTGGGAGGATGCAAATGTTTTCAAGCTGTGGATAGTTAAATCCATGGATACAGAATCCTAGGATAGAGGCCAAACTTTACTCCCTGTTCATACCACTGTTTCAATGTTTTAATTCTATAAAATTAGCAAAGAAATTAAAAACATGAAAGAAGAATTAAATCACACTTTGTGCCTTATGCTTTTTGTTTCCTCTGCTATCATAGTACCAGCCGCATTCCACAGTTCAAAGAGTCCTAATTTTTTTACAGCTGCAGACCTATTAAAATTCTGAAGGATACTACTCCCCCTCATTAAAAAAAAGACTATTAGGTTTTAGATTCCTCTGTTAGAATACTACAAATGAGATACTAAAAACTACATTTTAAAATTTACTAATTTAAAAAACATAAAGTGTATAGTTGGATATCCTTACAAGTATTTTATTTCCATTCCAAGGACTTAAGTGCACTCCATAAAGGCTTCTTGACAATTTACAACTTATACGGACATAATTAAGTCATTAAGTTAATTACAACTGAGTAGAGAGGTGGGAAACCAAATCTCTGGACATATCATATAAAAGATCATTGATTCAACGTAATGAGAGATATTTAAAAATCCTTCTGACTCTTAGATTACCCATTCAAGAAAATAAATATACAACAAGTACAGACTAGACTGAGAATATTTTAAAATCTTTTCTTATTTGAATCCCAGATTTTCATGTTCCTATGTAAGCTTTTACATTTTTTGTGGTTTTCATCTTGTTCATTTTGCAATTAACTATTTTAGGCTCCTGTTTTCCTTTTTTGCTCCAAGGCATATCTCTGTTGAAAACCTGACTTGTTTTTCATGTTCGTTTTCTTCCTCGCATACACAACAGCAAGTCACAACAGGCATTTTGATTTACATGACATTGTCACTTAGTCTAATTAGTCAGTGGTGACTCAACAGTCCTGTTGGCATACCCACACAACAGTAGTCACACACCCGGCACTGTATCTCCCCCCACCCCCTTGCTCAAATTTTCATGTTATAAAAATATTTCTAAAATATCAACAGAATGATTTACCTGTAGAATGCGGTAGGAGCCGCTTCTCGCATAGCAAAGCTGTTTGGTTCATTCTCAAGGTAATAAGGGACCTGCTGATTATGGTGATGAATAAAAGGCGAGAGCTGCGGTGCCGTCTGTAAAAACACTACTGGGCTTGGAGGGACGTTATTCAGAGAATGAAATCCTCCCAGGCTGCTCGACCCAAATGACTCTGTGGTTGGGGCGTAAGTGAGGCTGGTTGAGCTGTACACCGGAGCGGCTGTTGAAAAATCATACACAGAACCTTCTGGGTAGTTAAAAACCCCAGTCTTGCTGCTGTCCACATACATTTCACTGATGGGTCGTTCCAGAGGAATCTTCATCTGAGGTCTGTTGAGAGGCTCTAGTTCATTGCCTTGTATCTGGTGCATTAAGGCAACACCGGGGGTTTTTGTGTGAAGGGTCATGGTCAGCGTCAGTGGCAGTGAACACGTAGCATATCTTGATTTGGAGCTCCAAGAGGAATCAGCAGCTGGCAGTCCACCTGGAAAAGGAGCAGAGACCGAGGTAATAGGCAGAAGAGAGCATATCTTTTGAACCGAGCCCCATGCATCTAGCTAGTCCCAGCAAAGGAGGCGAGTACATCCAAGGAGAGCGTACACAGAAGGAGCACAGCCTCTCCCTCTCTCTCTAACTTTAAGTACTTCTCATCTGAGCTAATACGCTTTACAAAGGTGCTGGCATTAAGCCAGATACTCTTGCCTTCCACTGACATTGGTTTAAACATCACTTCAGAAACAATTAGTCCTGGATTTATACCAAATACTTGTTTTTGCTTTGCTTGCTTTTCATTGCATGTAGCTCTGATAGTCAAAGACAACCGAGAGAGAGAAAGTGGCTAGGGACTTTAAAAAAATTCCTACAGAACACTAACCTAGAGTCCGTTCACATTGTATAACCCCACCAGGCTCCAATTTATCTTTCCTTATCTACACTCCCTGTTTTGCTCATCTTTATGTTTGCTGGAAATATGTAATGTGTACACTGTAGTGACCCTGGGCAGGACTGCAGTGTAACTTAGATAGGGCGTTGCAGAGTGTGTGTTTGTGTGGGCACACTTGCCATGTGTGCAGCCAGCTATGGACTGGCAAATTCCACCGAGCAGAAATGAAAGGGTGTGTGGTATCTATGTAGGAGAAAAGGCATATACTTGCTGCAATTATCATGGCATTTAGCTAGAGCATATTTGGCTGCTTTGTTTCTCTTTTTAAGGGGAAGTTAAACCAGCAATTGTCCTGCCATTGTGATAATCAGCATGTGTCTTTACTTTGCATTCCAAAATCCAATAAAATATATAGAGAAAACTAAAAAAAACCACAGCACTGCTCAGACCTCATGACATTCAACAGCATTCAAAAGAACCTTGAAATGTGTTTTCATCTTTTGTTTTCTATATCATATTGAACTAACACATTTAAATCTGAGACAAAAGAAAAATATGAATAGAGTTAAAATATTTAATTCACTATTGTATAGGTTTTACTGAAGAGAAACAATTATGCAATGGCAGCACTCAATAAGCCTTTACAATTATGTCCATGCCTAGATCTATAGCTCTCTATGGCTATGCTGGTTCAAACAAAACAAAACAAAAAGGAATTTTCTAAATTCAAAACATATTGAATTCCAGATAGATCAAATATCAGCATTAATAAAACTTCCATGCCCAAATTAAATTAAACCAGATTATCTGATTTTGACAATCACAATTTTTAGTCATATATTTACATGTTTATTTCTCACAAGTCATATAACATATTTATTCTGCAATATATTGCATCAACAATCAGAATAAAGTTTTAAAATATTTTATAATTAAATATCCCAAAATATCTCAGTATTTAGCATGTCTTGACATAGCATTTGCTTGTAGCATGATGCATTACTCAATGAAATGTATTTGCCACAAAGAACAATATTGCTACATATTTATTTTAAATAAAACTACGTATTTCATGGAAATTTGTAGCAAAACTAATTGCATATAGAAAATGGCTATAACTTTCAGAGCAATTTGATTTGAAGAATATTATGGTAGCAACATTATTTAATTCCTTGTGAATCTTAAGCCTAGGTTCGTTCATATAGCTCTCAACCTGCCCAAACTAGCATGAATTACAGATAGTCTAGTTCAATTAGATGATATTGTTGTTTATACAAGGAAAAGGGAAGAAGGAAGGAAGGAAGGAAGAAATGAAGGAGTGTGTGTGAGAGAGAGAGAAGGAGGGAGGGTGAAAGAAAGAAACTACCTGAATATAGAAAGACAGATATAAAATATATGCCTCTGGGGACAAGTGAAAATATGAGCATGTCTGCATGTCTTTACAATTTTCATAAGAGAGCAAATCAGAAATTTGTTGCTACAGAAAAGTGTTGCTACACGACAAATATACCAAAGTTTGTGCAACCATAATTAAGTACTGTGTGGTCAAAGCCTTTGGCATGCATTAGCCAGCCTTGAATTTATATCTTTCACGTAGCAATGCTATGGAGCTTCTAACAGATAATTGGTTGGTTGACTGAATTTTACTTTTAGGAGTAAATTAAGTTCGTTACATTTTAACACCAAAAACTAAGAATGGAATATGAAACATGTTTATATAGCTTTTATAATTTTATTTACAACACATTACAAAATTCAGGACATATCACACTCCCAATGACATGATCAGCAAAACACTGGAACTAAATTGCTCCTTAATTAAGCAGCCTTGATTAATCCTCTCTTCTTGGCCTTGAAGTTACTCCATTCACCCTACTGGTGGGCATACGTAATCCTGAATCAGCCACATTCTAACTACAAGGAGTTCAGATAATATCTGGGACCCAAAACTCATGTGTCTGTTCAAATGTGGGGAAACAGGTTTTTCAGAGACATTTCTACTCCGGATTCCCAGCTACTAGACAGATAAAATGTGAATGGAAAGGAATGGAGCAACCAATGTGAGAGCAAGATAAAAGACTGGTGCACATTTTTTTCCTTTAAATAAGCACCCAGATCCACTATAAATTCATTAGGTGAAAAAATTCAATTTGCTGTTATCAGCTTATTCCACAGTATGGTACTATAATGCTACATGAGCACTGGCCATGCATAAAACTGTGGGAGCAAAACCAGAAACAGGAAAATAAATATATGTAATTGCCCTGGAAATGCATGTTATTCTCTTTTTAAAAGTTAAGTCTTGGTGATCTAATATTTGTCTATGATGCATTTCTTGCTACGTACTACCATCTTCTGTTCTAAATCCAAAGCCTGGTTCCAATAAAAGTGCAATGGCCTAGCATTAGATTCCTGCTGTTTTCTTGGCAGGGCCAGCCTGAGATGCAGCAGCAAATGGTGACAACCAAGTCACAATAGAGCCAAGCAAGTTATATGAGGCAAAACATCCAACAAGATCTAGCGGTAAAAAAAAATAGTAACAAAGTGCATAATGCGCAATGCTGTCCCCATGGGAACAGAGTCAGAAAATTCCATATGAACTTTTCTCTGCCACACTCACTTCAGTGTCATTTCGGGGCTCCAGCAACTTGTAAAACAACATTGCCTCATGATGTTTGTTTGCTGCTCTACACTTAATAAAATATTAACCAAGGGCCAAACCAGGTGGGACACAGTGACCTCATTCATACTGGGAACATTCCAAATAGGAGCATTTAGTTTAACCCACTAAGGTGGCCTTTGCAGTATGGAGATCTGATGGTGGTCAGGCTATAGAATCATAGAGTTGGAAGAGACCTCGTGGGCCATCCAGTCCAACCCCCTGCCAAGAAGCAGGAAAATTGCATTCAAAGCACCCCCGACAGATGGCCATATCTGGACAAAAATGACCTAACTTCAGTCATCTATGTTCTGGTAGCCTCCATATTAGGTTACTATAACATGTAATAGATGGGAGTTGCCTTTATAAATGGTTTGCCAATGCAATTGGTATGGTATGCAGTGGTCAGACTGATAATAAAAACCAAGAGGTCTGCTCCTGTCTGTCTGAACCTGACTATCGTGTTTGTATGTGGAATGGATTCAATAGCAAATCAGATCTGAATTCAAACTAGAAGCCAATTGTGGCTATTCTTATTTGGATCTATCACAGAGAAGCAATGCTAGGGCAAGTTGGAGACAGAAAGAAAAGATAAAGAACCATGTTACAGGGGAAGAAACTTGTGCAAGGAACCACAACCTCAAATTTGTCAAACCTGAGGATGCTGTTAATAACAGGCTCTCTTGCAGGTCTCTTATTCATGTCCAGGTTGACCTGACAATACATAACAATAGCAATAATAACACTAGGCAAAGTTTTACTAGAAGTGTAAATGAGAATGTGAGATAGATTTAGACCATATGGGATCTAGAATTTGATATAGGTGGCAAAGGCCCCGTGGTATAGTATTGCCTCGGCACAGCTTGAACAGTTTAGATGAATTCTCAGCACATTGTCGGACACAGCAGTCCGCAAAAGATCTATGTAATATGAGCACTGTAAAACAGGCTGTACTGGTTTGGTGAATTTTGGGACAAGGGGGAACGTTAATTTGTTTTATAATTGTTTCATATATTGGCTTCAAGGAGATAAACTGTTTTTTAAAATTAAAGACTAAAGGTTAAAGAATTAGAGGGCCTCAGAATTACAAGGCTCTAGGGAGCTTTTGAAGCCAAGGGGCAGATGGAGGGACACTATGAGTTAGAGCCCCCCCAGGATTCACAGAGATGTCATCCAAATGCAACATGGCCAACAAGAAAATAGAGTTATTCCACGTTACATTTGATCACATTTTCACATGTTCTAGTCTCTCTTTTCATTAGTAATATTGTATATTTCAAATGGCATTGCCAAGCAGGAGTATCACAGGAATTGAAGGTCCAGGGTTAAAACCAGAGACCTATAAACAACCTTTTGTGATGTCGCATGGTGTAGTCCCAGTAAGGCCATTAAGTACAACATCTTAAGCATTTATCATAATTGTACAAAATGTGGTATTTGGGGTTTAAAAACAAACAAACAAACAAACACCTAGGAACACACACACTACCTACGATACACTTTCTCTTCCCCCGAGATTTCTCCTTCAACTTGAAGAAAAGAGGGTCCAGGCTCTGAGGTTTGGCAATTCCTGTTAAAAAGTAGAGGGTGGGAATAGAATGACCAGTGGATTTCATGCAATCCCTGGGACCTTTTTTGTGCCTCTCCATTTTGTCCTGGAACCTCCCCTTAAGAAAATAAATGAAGTACAAAGATCCCTTAAGTAAAATGCCTGGAAATTGTCAGTCACCATTCATGTCAGAGCTAGAAACCTTTCTGCCAATTCCCAGTCACAAACACAGGGCTGATCTACACTGACCTAATAAACTTGGACCAAATCAGCATGATGTATGCCAGTTTGGCCATGGGATGGGTCACATAGGGACTCCCACAGCTGCTAGAGAGGCAGGAAGGACTCCCAGCCACCCAGCATAACTGAACACCGTTTGACCCTTATCATCAC